AGACATCAATGAAAATTTGATCATTCATCATGATCAGGTTGTGGTAAACCGCAAAAAGGTCTGTTAACATTTCAGTTTTTTCTTTTTTTTTTAAGACTAAAACGACCCATTTGGTATTACTTTGTTAATGTACATTAAGTGGTGTCTGCACTTGGCTTTGGCTGTTTAGTGCTGTTCAGTGTATTCCAGTTAGAATTACAGTGATGAAATAGGATCTATCGCTATCGGAAGTGATATCTAAATTTTTGTACGGAGAAGATGGGATAAATGAGCTGGATAAATAATCTGAAAAAAGGAGAAGCAGCAGATTCCTGGCAGAGAGGCATAATGCTCGTGTTCTGCGTGTTCAGAACTTATGTCATTTTTTGAAAATTGAAATACTGGCCTTAATCGGAGTTTTATATTTTTCGCTGTCCCTAAAAGGCATAAGGAAATGATCTGATTGGTGACGCTTTGCGGGAGCAGCCATCTGTTGTTCTCAATGCCGATGCCGTCCTCCCTTCCGAATCGTTTAAAAAACGAACAGAGGGCAATCCCGACTTTGGCTTGCATCAGCAGCAGTTTGTCGAAATGAATCTGCAAATCGTAGAAGGACTAATTTGTCAGTGGCGACGTCAAACCGTCGACATCAACTTAAAATTAGGCGCTTTTCGCCGCTCCACCAAGCCCATTTGAGCTTATTAGCGTGGTACGAGTTCAGTTGTATTATTTTTTCAAGTAAAACATGTTAATCCCGAATATCGGCCCTACTGTCTGTTAATATAGACATTTCAGAGCGATTATGATATCCGTGAGTTCTTGCATTTGCAGGTTCGTAATGGTGAACCACAGAATCTCGTTTTTACGGTACCAGTGACGAGCCAGCAGCTAACGCATAATTATCAGATTCGAGTAGCGAATGATCGTTTTGTTGTTGACGATAGCATTATTGCCGTTTCGATGCATAATTGTGTGCTCCCATCATCGCATCGACCACACACTGGTATCGTAATCTTTTTTTACCGCAATAGTGCATTTGAGCCGTTGGTGTTAGCGTTTATTCATTTGTGACAGTTTAAAAGCCTTTGATTTATTAACCTCACAGGCTTCGTAGACTTCAATTTTTGTGTTGATAAAACGCCTAGAAACTTATCCGGTGAGTATAGGAACAAAGAAAATTCGCAATGGACACATAATAAGCGGGGTAAACAGGCCAAAGGAGGAGGAGAAAGATGTTTCCCCTCTTTAAATAATTCTTTGTGCACTACAGCTAATGCTTTTTGGGGTTTTCCTCAGTGCAGGTAGCTGCAGCGCCTCGTTGACATCTCACAGGATTTCTAAGGAGTCACGGAGGGCATTGCTGATGTTGCACTTTGCTACTTTTTTAGGCACCTCGTTTTATATTTCTGAAATTTCTGTTCGCTTATTTCGAGTTTCAGATCTGCTCGATTTGGATCCTTTGCCTGTAACAGTACTGAAAAATAAGATGTTCGAGTCGGTTTATAATTTTCAATATTTCAATCCAATACAAACTCAGGTTTGTGACAGTCAGTTCACTATTTGCAAAGACTCCGATTATTCACTTTTTAATTAAGTCGGTATCGTTGCATGTCTTACAGTTGTAAGCTTGCATTTTGAGCAGTCATCATTCTTCTTCCCTCTCACCGCTTTTCTCTGAATTCCATGTTTGCTAGCCTAATGATTGCTTATTAAAAGCACTGCGACCTACGCCACTTTCGAGATCCTGTACTTACAGTTGATGAAGTGTGCAGAGATGGGTTTAACCTTTGACCGTCACATTGGCAACGCTGATTCCTCTAATGTTTCATGTTGAAAAACGAAGATATGTGCATTTACTATTTGTGGGTTTCTATTTTTGCACAGCCATCGATGTAGCAACTTTTTGATGCTTCATGTAGGCGAAGCTGCATCATTTGGTGCCTTGCGCTAATCACTGCCCCTAATTTTTATGCGTTTTGTGCTGTGTAACAGCAGTACAAAACGCATATTGTTACGGGGTTGTCTG